TTTGAACTAGTACTGAGAGAAAACTCTGTATCAAGACAAACTGTTAGCTGACAGTTCTCCAGACTTCTCCTCCCTTCACTCAAGTCCACGTTGTGATGTTCTGTGAGTCACAGTTTTTTTCAGTTTGTTTGTAGCAGTTTGTTATTTTTTTTCTTTTTACCTTGTAGGACTCCAGTAGTGTTACAGGACACCTTGGTTCTTGACTTATTGTATTCAGAAGCTGGACAATCTTTACTTAACATCCTCGGCACAGGAGTAGACACTGTTGATAAACTGGTGTCTTTGGGAAGGTATGAAGGTGGCTTTTTTGCACTTAATTTTGGCTTCACATAACGGCTTTTGATAACAAAGTAACTGGGGAGAATATTCATTTCTCTTGANACTAAGTTGCATTTTTTTGCTAAAACAGAACCTGGATGCGAGAATATCCAGATTTGAACTAGTACTGAGAGAAAACTCTGTATCAAGACAAACTGTTAGCTGACAGTTCTCCAGACTTCTTCCCCTCCCTTCACTCAAATCCACGTTGGTGATGTTCTGTGAGTCACAGTTTTTTTCAGTTTGTTTGTAGCAGTTTGTTATGTTTTTTTCTTTTTGTCTTGTAGGACTCCAGTAGTGTTACAGGACACCTTATTTCTTGACTTATTGTATTCAGAAGCTGGACAATCTTTACTTAACATCCTTGGCACAGGAGTAGACACTGTTGATAAACTGGTGTCTTTGGGAAGGTATGAAGGTGGCTTTTTTTACACTTAATTTTGGCTTCACATAACGGCTTTTGATAACAAAGTAACTGGGGAGAATATTCATTTCTCTTGAGTTTGTTACAGTGCATGATACAGCGCGTGAGGATGTGCACAGCAGTATCTAAAGCTGTAGTATAATTCATTCATCAGCAGTGCCACTGGAGGATATGCGTTGGCCCTTGTGGAACTCATCAAGCTGGCATTTTCTGTACTAAACAGGCTCTTGGCAAGGAAAGGAAAGGTAAATATATCCTTGCGCAGTTAATATGAAACATCATAAAGTATATGGCAAAGTGGTCTTGATGCAAATCCGTAAAAAGAGATCATGCTTACAAATTTAGGCCATTTGCAAACCTTAGCAAGCAACGAGCTGTACCGTAGAATAAAACGCTTGCACAGGAGAACAAGAGTTGTGAAAAATATGTTTACTACAAGTTTACTTCATGTGGCTGAACTTTACCAATACCACCTATCATTGCTGCACTGTAGCTCATTGTGGAGTGGTCATGGCATTCAGCCTAAAGAAAATATCCCTGTTATATCCCTGTCGGGAAGGTATGTCTCCCGTCAGGTCCCCAGAAGGGATATATTTATCTTATAGTGCGGTAGTTTAGAAGGACTGCTTGCAAATTATAAATGTGCAGACAATCTTTTGCACCGAAGCAGCAGAAGTAATTAATCGTAGACAAGTTTAATTTCAAAGCCCAACTTAATTTGTTTAGAAATCTTCAATATCCAGTTGGGACAGACATGAAAGCATGCGCTTGCAGTCAGTTGAACTTTGGTTCCGTTTAAGCCTTTATTTTTGCAACTGCCTAAGTTAGGTACATAGCCGCGATAAGATGTTTTACTTGTTCATCTGCATGTCCTTGCCATCTATGGGTACAATACGAACTCACATCATTGTTTGCTACCAGTTGGCTTGATAACCCAGTTGGTAGAGCACTGCTCTGGTATTGCAGAGGCCATGCGTTGGAATCCCAGGAGTTCAATTTTTTTCCTTCAGGCTGTATCTCATACATAACCGCAGTGATCTCAATTGTCTTTAAAGATGAGATAACGATGGGCCAAAACAAACAGAACTCACAGAAAAGTTGTCAAATGACGTTCTGAAACACATTTCAAGTGGCAATTGTACAGTGTATGGTGCACATTACTGTAAAGTAACGTGCTTAGTTGTATGCAACTTAGTAAGCTTATTATTGCATGGCGCACTGTTTTGTCTTTAGGATGATGATATTTCTCCTTTGGAAGAAGCATTAACATCACAAGTTGTTCATCAACTGCGTGATAAAGGAGCCAGCTATTCCACAAGCTGGGGTAAGGGTTGGATTCTCACAGAGATTCCTAAAATCTTAATGCATGTACATGTACTACTGCACTGCATTGCATCTGTCCATTTCTCTCCATTTGAATTATATGAATATTCTTGTCATTCTTTGTTTAATCATTATCCTCAGTTAATTGAGTATTAATATTTTGAAGAATTCACTAAAGTAACCAGTGATTTACTTCTCCATTTGGCTGAATTGTATCAAAACCACCTATCATTTCTGCATTATACATGCAGTTTATTGTGGAGTGATCACGACTCAGCCTAAAGAAACAATTCCCTGTCACATCCCTGGTGGGTAGATACATCTCCTGTCAGGTCCCCAGAGGGGATACATTACTTTAGGATAGAATGCACAGTAGTAGAAGAACAATGTTATAGCATCCAATCGATCTGTTAGTTAAGTATTCATTATTTCTTCTTAGGTAATTGTCAGCTGGTGACTGTGATAGCTTCGTACGTCTATCACAGACTGGACAGTCAGCTGCCGACATTGGCAACACTCTTGCTGAAGAGAATGTGCTTGGTATGTCTGCAGAGTGATGTTACACAAAATTAAGGCAATTAGTTGTCATACACATAACACACGTAAGCAGCAAAGTTTAGTCAGATATGAATCTTCCTACTCAACAACCTGCTGCCTTTTTGTAATTTTTTGCAATGGAGCATTAAATTCATTAAAAGTGATTTTACAAGTTACACCTCGAAGTGGCTGAATATTACCAATACCACCTATCATTGCTGCGCTGTAGCTTATTGTAGAGTGGTCATGGCTCTCAGCCTAAAGAAATAATTCCCTGTTATATCCCTGGTGGGAAGATAAACCTCCCATCCGGTCCCCAGAGGGGATACATTTTAGGCAACTGTAATGTAGGTTAAACTAATACAGTTGCATGCCCAAACGAAGTAGTTTCTTAGCTGTTTATCACATGGTGTCCTTTTAATTTTTTAAAAACTTTTAAAGTATAATTGATGATTTTCCAGGTAGCTCCAATGTCCATGCATGCCAGTTTTGGCGCGGAAGCTGTTCCATTGAGAGACGCTTTTGTTTCGAGACTCAGGACCCTTACAGAGGTGCTAATTAATAATGGAAGTCCTCGTGATACTAAACAGTAAATGTTCTACGAAGGCGACTCATGTTGAGAATAAGGGAGATACTTCCTGGCATAACAAGAGTGCAGTGTGCAATATAAGTGCATAACACTTCTCCGGCACCAAGAGATAATTACCTAATTATTACCGTGCGGTTGTTGTGAATTACAGCGTATTATCCAGTAGCCTTGATGCTCAAGTTCTTAGAGCTAACAAGTGTCCTGCAGTTGTTACAAAGAGAGTATACTGCTGCATGGGTCTGTAAAGGTTACCTATGTCCAACAAGGTCAAAATAGTCTTAACTTTGTATTCATATCAAGCATACAGAAATTTGTTGTACGGAGTAATCATCTTTAGGTTGTACTTTACTTATTAAAAAAAATATGAAGTCACTCCTATAGCTCAACAGAATCCTTTTTTGCACTGTTCAATTTCCAGGACGTCAAACTTAAAGTAGTAATACTGGAATTTATAGCAACAGCTGTGGAAACTCAACCTGGATTAATTGAGCTGTTCCTTGATCTGTCTTCTAAAGATGATAAGGTAGATAACTAATAAGGATCATTTATGCTGGTCATTCCTCTAGGAATTCAGTAGAACAAAAAGCAGATGCATGTTAAACTGTACGTGTACAAGGAGACCATGTCAATTTAACGCACCCTGTTAATAAACTTGGAGCTTTACAAAAAAAAAAAAANCTTAGTAAACTACTATTTTCAGGTCTCCGTCAATTTAAATGTAATTTTATACATAGCCAAAATACCGTGACTGAGCTCCTCTAATGTCCAAAGAACAGCCTTGTTCGACATCTTCATCACCTCTCACACTTCTTTTTTCCAATGGCAGCAAAAAAAAAAAAAAAAAAAAAAAACTGCGTTGATCCCAAAAGAATCGGGCCCCAGCAGAACTTGAAACCATTCTTTCAAATCCTCCAAAGTTGAGTCTGATTTTTTTGGCTTGTTTTCTTTTCAACTGTTCAAGTTGATATATAACTGAGAAGAACTCCTTCTTTTCTTGCAAGAAGTCAGAAGATCAGTCAATATTCGCAGAGAAAAGAAACTGAAAGGTTACGATGCTTGTTCATGAAGATTTTGTTCTAAGATTTTGTGTGAATTTCTAACAACCTCGCTGAATAGAGGGACATTTATTGAAAAACAAGAGTAGGACACTAAGTACGAGAATGATTTGTCCAACATATTTTTATGCTCTCGACTATCACGTCTTAAAACGGTCTCCGATATTTTCTTTATCAACTCAACCAGGATGAGGGAGGGATCTGGGAAGGTAAATGAATGTAAATAGAAAATCATGCTTGATATCGCACTCTTGCTGTTTTCCATAGGTCCCTTACATGGATTAATTTTCATACTTAAATAAGAAATGCAAACATGCTCTCCATAGTTATATTGCTGATTTATAGTAGTTAACGAAGTATTCAAAAGATTCCTTTAATGTCTTGTTTTGTTCAGGAATTCATCATAGGGCAGAATAGCTGTCTTCATGCTGTCTTGGATGTTATTGATCCCGAGAAACAGGTAAATACCAAAGGCGTTAGCATTTCTCGTAACCAGTCTAGTGACACAAGTGTGCACTAATAGGCGTTGTAGACAATGGCTGTGTGTTTGTTGGCTTGAATTTATATGGAAGGTGGTTGTTCTATGCTTAATGGCAAGTTGCACTGTCTAGATAAAGGGCAAAGAAGTAAATATTGCAGAAGTATTTCTAGTCCAGATGGGTAAGGCTGTAATTGAAGACTTTGGCACTGGCCTCAAAGATTTTGGCAGTAATTCCAGCTGAGATCAAGTGCATGCCCTTCAATCAATTTAATTGCGAATATAAATAGTTTTCACAGTAGTTTCTGTTTTTCAGTGGAATCCCGATTTCTCGAACCCTCATTTTTTCGCACCTCCCGATAACTCGAACCAAAAGTTGTCCCTCTCCTCAGTCGAACACTGTAATTTTACCCCCGATTTCTCGAACTCTCCGATTTTTTCGAACCAATTTTCGTTTCCCTTGGAGGTTCGAAAAATCAGGGTTCCACTGTATTGCACTTTATAATCCATCAAATATTTTCGCTCGCGCGCGATTGGTCAAAACCCGTTCCGTGACTGAATATGCCCCAACTAAAACTGGGGGATATCCTAGTGATATTCCCCGATTTTGAAACTGGGGTAATAAGTGTAAATAAATTGAAGTGAGTCGAGCATTCATCACTTGTCTATAGACAGGCCATTACAATAAATATTGTCATCAGACCATAAGACAATAAGTATTTCAGTCCAGATGGGCAACACTGTTATTCTGTATTCATTTTCAACTTGATTAACACCTCCTTCTGTCTGTAGTCAGGTCACTATATTCCTCCTCAACTGGTATCTGCAGCATTCTTGTTACTTCACTCTTTGTGGCATGACAGAAGAGATGCCGCGCTCACAGCAATACGAAAGAGGTAATTATACGTGAAAATATTAACTACAAAATGAATTTACTAGTGATGGACTTTATTATACTAGTTCTTCAGTAACAGGTTATTGATAGTTTTGTCAGGCTTTAGCTTTAATAGCAATAAAGTAATGATTTTAATTGTTCAGAACGATAAATTGAATTGTGTAAATTTAATAGAGGGTATTGGTTATGAGGCCCGACGAAGCTCTTTGTTAATATGTTTTGTTCACTCTTTTGGCCTTTATCGCTTTCAGAACACAATAGCTTTTTATTTCTGACCGAAGAACTAGGCAGTAGAAACGTTTTGGTTACGTTATTCATGAATAGTGTATGAGCGCAAAACCAAAGATTGTGCATGTTCGTGGACTTTTCACCGTAACTCGTGATATCTTTAGTTGCTCCTTTGAGCTTTGTCCCCGGCTCCACAGCCATTCCTCTGAATTAACTATGTCTGAAATGACAAATATGTAAAGCGCAGTGCTGTAGCGTTATAGGACATTGCATTTTTGAAGTAGAACAAAAATATAAATCATGAAAAAAGGACTTTTATAGACCTTACCGAGCAGCTAGCTTTTACTTAGTTCATAATTTTCGCAGAGGAGAATTGAATTTGTCAAAAATAATTTCACTACTTACTTCATGTGGCTGAACTTTACCAATACCACCTATCATTGCTGTAGCTTATTGTAGAGTGGTCATGGCATTCAGCCTAAAGAAAATATCCCTGTTATATCCCTGGTGGGTAGATATGTCTCCCATCGGGTCCCCAGAGGGGATACATTTCACTTTTGTCTTCTCGGCTTTGTAGGTTTGTGATTAGAAGTGTAAACTGTTTCTTTAAACTTTATTTGGTATAATTATACTCTCGCAGATTTTTGCAAGGGTTTTGTCTTCTTCAAGGTTAGATTTACAAGTAGCAATTGTTATGTCAACATCCCTCTGGAAGGTC